GTGGGGAGATGGGCCAAATGGGGGAATACTGGGGCACAGCATGGACAGCTAATCTTCCCCCCAGTCAGCACAGAACCACTCTGTGTACACTGATCAGGAATATAGAACTGCAGGAGGAATAGTTTGCTGAAAAGACTCAGGTCCAGACCAGAGTTTTCACACAACCCAGGTGTACCATACCTCAGAAGACCCAGAAGTCAACTATTAAAACATGAGCTACACAAGAAGCCTTCCCTAGGAAATCAGCAGCAAGGCAAATATTTAACTAAACCACAGGGCTCAAGTGCTGGTACCCACAGGAAGTTCCCACACTTTAGAAGTAAGCAAAGGACAACAAATTAGTTCCAGTGCAGAGTTTATGTAGTGGAAACAGCTAATAATCCAACAGAGAACTGAAAACAAAAACAAAATACCCACAGACCAGAGACAAAGTTTGATATTAACTAGTAAATGTCTCACTTCACCAAAGAGCACCTATTAAACCTCGAAGGACCAGTAGCCTCCTGGGCCCTCAAGGCAGGGAGGAGGTAGGGCTGTGGGCCTCAGCAGTACCCCTTGACATCTACAGCCAGCCCAGTAACAACCACTGAGATGCTGCAGGAAGTGCCCTGGGTTCCCAATCCAGGCCAGTGAGGGCCGAGGGCCTCAACCATGTCCCTGTGACACTCACAACTAGCCCAACGATGACCACTGAACCACTGCTGGAAACACTCCAGGCTCCTGAGCTGGGCTGTGGGCCCCAGCCATGAACCCCAACACCCACACCCAGCCCAGTGATGACCACTGAGCCACCACAGGAAGTGCCCTGGCTCCTAATTGGGGGTGGTGGGGGACTGAGGGCTTCAGCCACAACCCACTGACATCTGCATTCAGCCCAACAATGACCAAGCAACCACTGGAATCCAGTGGTCTTCTCTGCAAGAATGAGGGAGGTATCACAGGCCTCAACCATGCCCCTCCTTTTCCTTCCTTCTCTCACCATATTACCTTCCCCCTTCCCATCTCCTGTCCCACCCAACTGCTCCACGACAAGTTAGAATGCAAAAGCAGGCTGAACCTGGGACCAACTCCTCCTCTCACAACCGGGCATGCTGTTCATGCCACAGGGCCTGCCCAAGATCCTGAGGCATGGATCCAGGGACCAACCTCTACTCCTGCAACCAGGCAAGGAGCATGCCAAAAATATCACTTTTATGTGGGTGGCCCACCACAGCCATCACAATAGCCATGGCTGCGGCAAAAGTGGCTAGATGCTACAACCACAATGCAGGTGGCTTACCAGCCACTGGAGTGCATTGACACAAAGAGAGTCACCAGTGGAGACCAAAGAAAAGAAGAGGATGTCTCTCTCCACAAAGCCCATTCAAGAGTTATGGAAGAAGCATCTGCTCCATGATAATAGTGGGGGACCTGAAAACACTTTCTCTCAGCACTGGCCAGATCATCTAGGCAATAAATCAACATAGTAACTGTTACTCTTTCAGAAGGAAAGAAGCAATCTAGGGTGATCAGAGGTGGTAGGGGGGAGAGAGAGGGAGATGCGGAGAGATTGGATAAGAGGCATAAAGAATAAGTATTATTTGTTATAATATATATGCTAATAATATTGATTTGATCAACATACATCAATGTTTAACCACCCAAATATGTAAAATCAATTATGATTCAATAAAAATAAATAAATAAATAAAAATGAGAGCTCTTGCACATTGCACTTGAGTGTATAAAATGGTGCTGCTGTTGTGAAAAACATTTTGCCAATTCAAAAAGTTAAACTTAAATTAACAAATTACCCAGCTACTCTACACCTCCGTATATGCCCTAGAGAAATGAAACATATGTCTACATAGAAATTGTACACAAATGTTTACAGTGACATTGTTTATAATAACTAAAAGGTGGAAACAACCAAAATGTTCATTAATAAATGGATTAATTGGATAAATGCATAAAATGGAATGGCATTCAGCCACAGAAAGGAAAAGTACATATTGAACATGGGTGAACCTCAAAAAATTACAATAAATAAAATAAGCCAGACATAAAATAGTCTTGTATATTTTCATATTAAAGATCCAGAGTAGGCAAATTCATAGAGAAGGACAGAAAATTTGTAGTTGCCAGAGAATCGTTGGGATTGGGGAGATGGGTAATTATTACTTGATGGGTATGAAGTTTTTTCCAGGGTGATGAAAATATCTGTAAACTAAAGAGTTGGTCAACACACAAACATTGTGAACACTCTAAATATTATCAAAACTTTAAAATGGTTAAATGTATGATATTTGAATTTCACCTCGATTAGAAAAAAAGTCACTTTTAAATCCACCACCCAGATAGAATATTGACATCTACCTTTCCAATTTTTCGTCTATTCAGACTTTTTAAAAAATATTCAGAACTAAAGAAAAATAAATGAGTTATGAAGTCAAACAAAAACACTGAGGAAGCTTAAATGCATTTTGCTAAGTGGAATATGTCAATCTGAAAAGGCTATATACTGTAACATTCCAACTATATGACATTCTGGAAAAGACAAAACTATGTAAAAAGATCAGTGGTTGCCTGGGATTCAGGGGCTGGGAGGGAAGGAATGCATAGGTGGTACATAGGGAAACGATTCTGTATGCAATAGTAACTATGAGTGCACTCATTACTCCTATAGAATTGTACAACACAAAGAGTTAAACCCAATATAAAGTATGCACTTTAGTTAGTAATAACCTATCAATATTCATTCATCAATTGCAACAAATGTGCCACATCAGTGGAAGATGTTAATGATAAAGGGAACTCTGTGTGTGTGTTGGAGGCAGGGGTGGATAGGATATGTAGAACACTAGGTACTATCTGCTTAATTATCCATCTGGTGACATCAAAACCTGGCAATGGCAGGCCTCTCCCAAACCAACAGAATCTCCCCCAGTAAATCTGTCATTCAGGAAAAAGGAAGGCAAGCTTCCTGGATGTCTTTTGACTCCAAATTTGTAGAATATTTTTCCCTCCCCAAATCTTTTGTATGTTTTTTTTATTGGTTATTAATATTCATGAGATACTGTCCCAACCCGCGGGATATTCAACGCAGACCCTGGAGGGGGGAGTGGGAATTGGATGGGACAAGAGACACGAGAAATTGAGACAAGACAGTATTCTGATCAAGTCTCATTTATTGGTTCTTAGGTTACCCAGCATCTGGACTTCCTAAGGCCAGAAGCCCACATCCCTTTGTGCAGGAGAGAGAAGGGATTGGGATGTTCATGTTCCAAGCAGTTCCAGGTACAAGCCTGACCCTGCTACTTTCTGGTCCCAAGGACAGCAAAAGAAGTAAACCTATAAGAGTACCTAGTAAAGGTAAGAGGTAAGGTAAAAATCCATTGAGCCCAGTCCAAAGGGGATTGTCAGCCAACTGTTTTCTTCTTTTCTCTAAATCTTCTTGCAGTTGTTTGATGTGATCACACACTATTCCAGACTTGTTCGCATAGAAGCAGCATTTTTCCTGTAAAGCCAAACAGATACCTCCCTGCTCAGCAGTTAGTAAATCAAGACCTCTGTGGTTTTGTAAAACCACCTCTGCCAAAGAATCTTATTGGTCTTGTAAATCCTGAATAGTCTGAGAAAGAGTCTGTACATCTGAGATTAATTGTTTAGATAATTTGGTATATTGGGATATAGAATGTGTAAGGCCAGCAGTTCCAGTGGCTAGTGCAGCAGTAATTTCTAATCCAGCAAGCAAAGGAATAAATTGTACAGCTCTCTTTGCTCTTCCTGCTATGTGCTCAAAAATAGGAACAGGTACAGGCTCAGTTCCTGGTATCAATGTCAGGAAGAAGGGCCAAGACACATAATCCTGTCCAGTTAGTGGGCAGCTGGGTATGAGCTCAATTGCTGCCACAAACAATAACTGAACTATTATGAGCACATAAATGGGTAGAAACATTGATTATTGATTGACAATTTGCAAAAGCTGCAAAGCCTACATCGATTTCAAAACTATTATTAATAGAAGGAGAGAGAAAACAAGTGACATTATAAAACTGTAAGGGCTGCACTTGCAAAGGAGTAGTTAAAGAACACCGACCATTGGTCGAGTAATTAAGGGATAAATATGGAAAAGCTACAGGTATAGGTCGTCCCATGACCAAGCATAGCCAGCAGTCCTGAGCAAGGTCAGGATTACTTGTATTAAACAATTTATAAGTAGCATAAAGGAGATGAGATCTGAGGATCTAGATCCAATTCACCTCGATTTTCTGGCAAAGCTAATGGATAATAGGTAACTTGAGGAAATAGGGTATCATGCATTTCCTGTGTTTTTTCTTCCACCTTAAGGGTTCTGGTTTGATCTTGTGGTCCGCCTCCGTCAGACATATAGATAGAGGGAGTAATGGACCAGCATACAGGCTTTCCTACGGGTCCCAAACAGGGAGCTTTGGCATATTTATTAGAAGCAAGCCCCACTGCGGATGGAGGGCCAGCAAGATCTCCTCCAAATGTTCCTTCATAATTTCTGGTTAGGATAGCAGTGAAATATGTCTGATTATTTGAAATACACAATTGATATGAACCATAACAGGTGCTATGTAATGTTCTAACAAAAGTTTGACAGGGACAAGGCTTAGGGCCATCACTGTCAGCGGGTGCGAATTGTGGCTTATCTATGCAACTATAGGCAGGAGAGGTTGGAGCCAGATAAGCCAAACGTGCTCCACAATCAACAACAGCTATATACGGTGAGGGAGGACTAATAATGCCCCCTTTGCAATCACAAAGCTTACCAAAATGTTTGTTTACCAATTGTTGAGCGAGTCTGTGGAGTTGGTCTGATGTTATTATTTATCCAAATAGGTGTAGCCCATCCAGGAGTATACCAATAATGAATAGGATCTGGCTTGGGCAAAATATTATCATTTTAATTAAATTTTGTAGTATTATTATTTAAATAATTTCTATAATCATTACCAGGGCTAGAAATAGACAAATCACATACCTGTTAAGTATAATTGTTATAATAAAATACAACAGTTTTATTTTTAAAATCACAATTAAACCAATTGGGGAAACCTGCTCGAGAAGAGACTCTGTCCCGTGCATGAGCTTCTTTCTGTAAACATGTTGGAATAGAAGAAGGTAAAAAAATTGATGGCATAGTGCTTAAATGGGAATCATTAAAATTTGCTAAAGAAAATAAAAGATAAAGTCCAAGGATCTCGACTAATGGTTGGTGAATGGGTAGTTGGCTTGCCAGCACCAGATTGAGCATCTGTAATTCTAGGAGAATCGGTTAACAACGTTCTATAACCTGTAGAAAGACAATGTTTAGGAGGAACATTAGGAGAAGAGAAACATAAAGGCATTTTCTCAGTGGAAGCTGAAAAATTAAAAGGTTGTGAAAAATGAGGTTTTTCAGAAATATTAGGATCTCCACCTAAGAGGCGAGAATGGTTAGTTGTTACTTTTATTTCTTCCAAATGGAACAAAGGAGAGAGAGTTAGGGTTAAACCAAAATTATGACTGGTAACATTTATATTAAAACAGATATTTAAAAACCTTACAAAATGTTGCAACATATATCCATAACACCTTCAGTATTAATAATGCTTTCCCACATAGTCAAATTTATTAAATAAGCCAATTAGTTTTGATACATCTTTTAGATATCCTTTGAGAAACTCCAGGGCCCTTGGAATTTCCCAAAGTTATTTTAAAGTTTCAGAATTTAATGTTGGAAAGCTGTGTTAAATAACAAAAGGCTTAGAACATTTAATTGAATAAAATCATAAATTACTACAAAAAATAAAACTAAACCGAGAAAGCGTTTTAAAGGCAAAGAGCACAAGAACTTATATAAAACATGAAATAAGATCCCTAGGCCAGTTATTTAAAAGACAAAGAAAAACCTTTTACGATTTTGTAGTAAGAGCACTCAAGTGTCTCTTTCTCTCTCTCCTCCCCCCCCCTTTTTTAGTGGTAAAACCTTTTAAACAAACTAATTTACCTAAACCATTATCAAGACTTACTCAGACATTCTGTTTTTGTTCTATACTTTTTGTTTTTTAAATAGCCAGTCATTTTACTCTAGAACAAAAATACACTGTACCAGATGCTTTCTTACATATTTAAAAGATATTGTTTCTCCAGCACGGCCAGGAGGCAGAGCTGAGATAACAAGGAGACACATTGACCTAGAGACAATTTTAGGTAAAAGGTTTGAATCAAATTTTGAAAATATATTTATCAAAACATTAGAAAATTTAAGTCACGTGAACTTGAAAAAATACTTATTTATTTTATGAGCGCGCATTAATTATAAGCCAATTAGGTACCTTGCACATAAAACAATTACATAAACAGACATGAACATATAGACATGACATACAGCTTACACACGCATATATGCAGACATAAACAACAAGAACAAACAAGGATCTTATAAGTTTTGTTTAAGATGTAAATAAAGCTTACTAGTAAAAAGGTCAGGTTTAGATTGCAGTTTTTTACTCTTGATGTTTTAAGTAGAAGAGCAGGAGACCCAAAAGGGGTCTGTTTGGCCATGGCTGCTTTTCTCCATAAAACTCCAGAGTCTTCAGATAGCACATGCAGTAAGAACCACTGCTTTTAAGAGAGGAAAGAAGCATCATGCAGATAAGAAAGAAAAACATGATCAAACTTGAATTCTTGCTGGAGCCACCTTAAAGCCAAGAAAACTGCAAATCAAAAATCAATGGAATAAAAGCAAGGGGGCCTTCTACCACCGATAAGGCCAGAATAATTGCATAAAAGTTTTTGAGGGGTGGACTTTATTCCTTGATAAGGGGGAAAGATCACAACAGAGGCCCCCAATCTACCTCCATCAGTGAATATGGTGGAGCTCCCCTAGCGTCAGGCTTGTGAGGCCGGGGTGGAAAGCACAAGGCTGAAATGGTGGGAAAGACCCAAAGAGAGGGGATTTCCCCCCGGTTCACGTCTAATCCTCTTCTATTTTGTAATACAACCCCTGCTAAGGAGTCTAACTGGGACTGAAGATCTAAAATATTATTGGCGATTGTTTGCATATCACTGATTAATTGTAATTTGTTATAATAATGAGAGGAAAATCCTATACCAGCGGTTCCAGTGGCCACTCCGGTGGCTACTCCCAGCCCGATGAGGAGGGGGAGTACTTGGATGGCCTCGCTTTTGTCTACCCCCAAAGTGAGAAAAACTTATCTGCAACTTCTTCATGCTGTGACTCCTGCCTCACCAGCCTCTGGCCCTGAGACCCCTGAAGTCTCCACTTTTGTCTCCTGGGCCACTAATATCTCACACTCTGCTATCTCAGCTTCTATCCTCAGCACCCCGGAACCCACAGATATCTCCAACTCAAGACCACCTTTTATAATTAGTAGTCCCTTCTTCTGGGAACCAAGGACAAAAATTCTTCACGAAATCAAAAAATCTTAATAGATCACTTGTTTTAACCTTTACTCCTCGTGTCTTTAAAGCTTTTTGTAACTGTCTTATGTACACGTCATGACAACTTAATTCTTAATTCTTAATTTTTGATTCTTAATTCTTAATTCTTGTCCCATTATCAGGCGCTCTTACTCACCTTATCCTGACGCAGCAGGTTCCCGCGGCGGATGAAGGTTTTACTCTTTCATTTTCAGTGGTCGACCCTCCTATGCGCCTTCTTCCTCACTTTGTCCCCCGTATCCAGGCCCCACGTTTGGGCGCCAAAAATGTCCCGACCCGCGGGATATTCAACGCAGACCCTGGAGGGGGGAGTGGGAATTGGATGGGACAAGAGACACGAGAAATTGAGACAAGACAGTATTCTGATCAAGTCTCGTTTATTGATTCTTAGGTTACATCTTATATAGGAGAAGGCAGGCATGCTGCAAAGGGTCTGGAATGTAAAGATATGATAATATCTTGAGGAGAGACAAAGACAGGACATTCAAAGTAAAGGTTGCCACCCAGAATGTTTATGGTTAAACAGTTTCTAGAGAAGGATAAAAGGTCACTTGCAAATTAACTTGCATAGCCAGGAGCAATCAGTTTCTGGCATAAAGATTTTGAGGTAGTTATCATGTAAAGCATGGCCATCTGAGCAGATTGTCATGCAGGAGCGGTCTCACAAGAAGGGGTGTGGGGCTTCAGGCCCACAACATGATACAAAGCTGATTTTCACCCGTAGTGTCCATGATGTGGGGGCCAGATTCATACTGGCTATATACACATTAGCACAAATTGCATTTGTACCCTGTGTCCCGCAACCAATTATCCTCAACTTCCCTCCACCATCCCCCTACCCCCAATCCACTTTGTAGCCCATAGAATGTTCTCTCCCTGTGCAAGTCCAATGCACTACTGTGGTCTTTCTTTCCTTCCTTTTTTTTCTCTTAGCTTCCTCATATAAGTGAGTACCTGTGGTATTGATCCCTCTGTGCTTTAATTATTTCACTCAACATTAGTTTCCCCACGCTCACCCATGTGATTGCAAATGGGAGAATTTCATTCTTTTTTATGGCAGAGTAGTATTCCATGGTGTATATATATACCACAGATTCCTTATCTAATCATTTGTTGATGGACATTTAGGTTGGGTCCATGTCATGGCTATTGTAAACAGAGCTGCAATTAATATGGGAGTGCAGGTATCCCTTCGACGTGATGACTTCCATTCCTCTGGTATGTTTTTGACTTTTTCTCTTCATAATGTTTTTACAGACTCCTTGTTAATCTCTTAATGATCTCAATTTACTCACTTTTTTAAAATGCAAGTGTCTCAGAGGAGAGAGAAACAACTGTGGGGATTTATATAACAAAAATAGAATTTAGGGGACCTTATTTATTATATCTGTCCTTCCTAATATCCATAGATGTAAATACAAGGGTACTTCAAAAAAGTTCATGAAAGATCTGTATATTCTCTTTTAATTCTATTTTTTTCTGTGAACTTTTTGAAGATCCCCATAGCTGTTGCCTTCTCTCTAAGACACTTGTATTTTTCAAAAATGAGTAAATGGGGATCAATGAGATTAACAGAGAGTCTATAAAAAAATACTGAAAGGAGAGAAAGTAAAAAAACATATGAAAGATTTGGAGAGAGATATATGGTTCAAATTTGGAGTAAACAGACCTCCTAGAAGCTTTTTGTTTGTTTGTTTGGTTTTATTTTTTTCTTTCCATGCATGATATCGATTTACTGGGGCAGACTTGTAGTTTGGGAGAGGCATGTGAGAAAAATAGTTTAGCACCTTACCTAAAATTCTACTCAAAGTTTGATTCCAGCTGGATTTTAGGTCTAAATATACATACAAACGTTAAAGCTTCTACACAATAATATAGAAAATATGTTCATCATCTTAAAGATAGACATATTTCTTAAAGAAATCTAAAAAGTACTAAACACTGATGGAAATATGGAAGTGTTATATTGCATTAATGGAGTCTTTAAAAGATTTTTATTAATGGACTCTTCAAATAGAATTTAAAAGCAGGTAATTTGGTAGAAAAAGATCACTGCAATATTTGTCTTCATTAAACTCTCATATTCAGAGGACATAAAAAACTTCTATAAACTTCTAAATATCAATCAAAACAGAGACAATCTAAGTTTTAAATATGATAAAATTCTTGAATTCACAATCTAAAAAGAGCAATATCCAGATGATCAATACAGTTCTGAAGTGTTCAACCTCATTGGGGGGGGGGGGCAGTATTTGTTTGTTTATTTATTTATTTTTATTTTTAGCATACTCATTATTACAAATAGTAATTTTTCTTTATTCCCTTTACCCGACCTATCATTCCCCAAACCCCTTCCCTCTCTTCCCCCATCTCTAGTATCCTTAGGTTTGTTCTCTCCTGAATGTGCAATGTATTATTGTGGTCTTTTCTAACTTATTTTCTTTCTTTCTCTCCCCCCCCCCCTTTTCTTTCTTAGCACCCAGTTTTGAGTGAGAACATGCAGTATTTCTCTTTCCTTGTCTGGCTTATTTCACTTAACATAATTTTTTTCCATGCTCATCCATGTTGCTGCACATGGCAGAATTTCATTCTTTTTTATGGCTGAGTATTCCATTATGTATATATACCATATTTACTTTATCCAGTTGTCTATCAATGAACTTTTAGGTTGGTTCCATATTTTGGATATTGTAAACAGAGCTGTGGTGTGAGTGCAGGTATCCCTTCAACATGATGCTTTCTGTTCCTTTGGATATATGCCCTGTAGAGGCATTGCTGGATCATATGGTAGATCTATCTGTAGTTGTTTGAGAAACTTCCATACTGTTTTCCAAAATGGCCATAATAATTTATAGTCCCACTAACAGTTTAGAAGAGTTTTGCTTTCCCTGCATCTTCAACAGCATTTGTTATTCTGGGTCTTTCTAATATGGCCAGTCTAACTGGTATGAGATGATATCTCTGTGTGGTTTTGATTCGCATTTCCCTGATGGCTAGTAATGCTGAGCATTTTTTCATGTACCTATTAGCCATTTGTATGTCTTCCTTTAAAAAATTTTTATTCATATCCTTTGCCCATTTTTTAATTCTATTATTTGGTTTTTTTATTGTATAGTTGTTTGATTACTCATATATTCTGGATGTTAATCCCTTGTCAGATGTGTACTTTACAAATATTTTATTCCATTCCGTGGGTTGTCCTGCTCTGCTGATTGTTTCCTTTGCTGTGCAGTAGCATTTTAGTTTGATATAATCCCATTTATTTATTTTTTTTCTATTGTTGCTTGTGTTTTGGAATTTTATTAATAAAGTCTTTGTCCAGTCCTTTGACAGGAGATGGTGGCCGGCTGGTGCTGTGATCTGAACCCTTGACCTTGGTGCTACCAACACCAGGTTCTAACCAAGTGAGCTAACTGACCAGCCCCCTTCAACCTCATTTGTTATGCAGAAAATAATACCAGTTCCATAAAAACATACCTTCATAGATATACCAGCATTCACTGAGGAAGTAATAGGGAGAAAACACAAAGGATTTTCAACATTTTGGAGCTATTGGATTTCTACTCATCGCTGGTAGTTTTGTAAATTCATTCGACTACACTGGAAAGCAATCTGGCAGGGTTTAAATATTGAACATAAGTATATACTGTGAATCAGCAGTGCCACTCCAAAGTGTATATAAAAATACACTGATATGTAATCATTAGTTCACCCAGATACATGGATAAGAATCGTATTCTTAATATTAGCCCAAAACTGGGAACAACAAAAACTGAATGACAGCAATCAAACTTAACACTGTTAACTTATATAAATAAAAAGAAGAAACTGCTACATGAAACACAAAACTGATCAATTGAAAGCAGAAAGCAAAGGTGGCAGACTACATCATTCTATGTGCATGAAACCTTAAAATAGAAGAAAAATACTATATATTGTCTGGAGCCATAGAGCCCGGCTGTTGCCTAAGAGCCTACCTGCCTGTCCACAGCCAAAGAGCCCGCCCAGCTATTGCCTCGAGGCCTCAGAGCCTTGTTTGCTGTTATCTTCCGTCCCTCCCTATCCTGTGCACTATGGGTGTGGTAACTTTGCAACTTGCCATAGATAATGGGAATTTTCCATTTACCGGAACAACCCACCCTGTGGTTTTCTCAGTAAACTATCTGCATACTTAATTATCTGCTGATTCCCTCCTGCTCTCTATATAAACTGTGACCTTCTGGCTAATAAACGAGACTTGATCAGAATACTATCTTGTCTCCCATTTCTCACGTCTCTTATTCCATCCCATTCCCACTCCCCACTCCAGGGTCTGCATTGAATATCCCGCGGGTTGGGACAATATATTACCAAAATTCAAAAATAATGGTTAACTTGGGGAGGAGGAGTTTTAGCCAGGAGATCAAGGAGGACTTCTAAGGTGTTTATTAATGGTCTATTTCCTAATGAGAGTGATATTTACATAGAGGTATTTATTTTGTGAATATTGGCCAAGCTGTGTGATTATGATTTGTCTGCTTTCCCTTATATATGTTGTGCTTTATTAAAAAGGTTTACAAAACTTCATTGAAATTAAAAATAAAGATAAATTTAATTGAATATAAGAATATAACATTTTTTAATGTTTTAATTTATAAGAACTCAATGAAAACAAATAAACACATTTTCTGTATTAACATTATGTAAAATAAAAACAAAGGAGGGGATAAAAATTCAGAGCAGATTTTAATTACTTAGAAAACATTATAATAAAACATTGATATTGGTAGGTAATTTCAGAGCTATTTTGTATTTATTTTTATTTAATTTGTTTTTAACATTTCCTTGTACATGTTTGTGAGACACAGTGTGTTGTTTCAATACATGCAAATCCTGCACAGTGATTCACTTAAACTAGATAGCATAGCATAGTTTTGTACCCGTTAGTCCACTTCTCCCTCCTGCCTTGCCTCCCCCATCAGCCTTAGGTAATCATTACATTCTACTGTCTACTTATATTCTACAAGAATCACTTTTTTTAGACTTCAAATATAAATGAAATCATGTGGTATTCTTTTTTTCTGTGCCTAGCTTTATTTCGCTTAACATCATAGTTTCCAGTTGCATCCAAGTTATTGCAAATTATAGGATTTAATTTNTATATAAACTGTGACCTTCTGGCTAATAAACGAGACTTG